AAAAAAAAAAAGTACCCCATTTTGAGGCAGGGTCTTTCTATATAGTTCAAGCTGATCTTGAACTCTTGTACTTCCTATGAATCCTAGACTGGCCTCAAACTGGTGCTGATCCTCCTGCCTCACCTCCTTGAGTGTCTTACAGATAGATATGTGCCAGCCATCACATCAGGCAATAACCCAATTTTAAAATGGGTTAAGGATTTGAATAGACACTTTTCCAAAGAAGATACATGGATGGCAAATAAACAACTAAAAAGATACTCCACATCAGGGCTGGGGATACAGCTCAGGGGTTGAGTGCTTGCCCATTATGCCTGAAGCACTGGGGGCGGGGAAAGATGCTCAGTATCAGTGGAGAAATTTAATTTAAAGATGTGAGGTACCTATCACACTAACTAGAACGTATATAATAAAAAAATAATAAGAGCTAGTAAGGTTTTAAGGAAACTGGAACCCTCCTCCATTACTGGTGGAAGTATAAAATGATACAACTTTTTGTTTTTTCAATATTTACTATTTATTAGTACGCATTTGCAGTACATAATGATTACATTTCCCGTGGGGAATTGGTCCATGCACAGAACACACTTTAATTCTTTTTTCCATTCCCTTTCTTTGCATGCCTTGCCCCACTCAATCCTTCCCTTAGTCCTTAATAATTTCCTATTGTCTACCTTTATTTTGCTCTTTATTTATACGTGCAGTGTTTAAGCTTGTGTGTCTGATTCATTTCACTCAACATAATGTTCTCAAGGTTTATCCATTTTCCTGCAAATGACTCGTCTGTTCTACTCTATGGTAGAGCAGTACTCCACTGTGTATAACACCACATTTTCTGTATCTGTCCATGTACAGATAGTCGGCTTCCAAGACTTAACCATGGTGAGTTGTGCTGCTATAAACATGGTGTGTGCATCACTGTAACACGATGTCTAACTCTTTTGCGAAAACACCAAGCAGGGTAATAGCTGGGTCAAATGAAATGTCCACTTTTAGTTTTTTGAGAATCTCCATACTGATATCTCCACTGGTTGTACTAGTCTATATTCCCACCAATAATGTAAAGGGGTTTCTTTTTCTCCACAGCCTCAACAGCATCTGGTATCATTTGATTTCTTAATGACAGCCATTCTTTCTTAAGTAAGATGCAATCCTGGTGTTTTTTTTAAAAACTTGACATAGCCCCTTTGTTTAAAAAAAGTTGTCAGTCTCTCAAAAATAAAGACAATTACTACATATATGCTCATACTCGTTATGATTTCTCTGAGGTTTAGGTTTAAAGCATCTACTTTCAAAGGATACTTGCATCTGCTCTGTAGGTGATTCTTCCATGCAGATCAGTACCAATCCAAGGCACTGTAATTTTTGCTTTTGTTTTTGTTTTTGTGAGACAGGGTCTTGCTATGTAGTTCAGGCTGGCCTTAAACTCGCTATGTAGCCCAAACTGACCTTGAACCTATGGCAATCCTGCTGCTTTAGCCTCCCAAGTGCTGGGATTACAGGCATGTGCCACCATGCCTGGCTTGGGTACTATAATTTTTTGTTTGTTTGTTTGTTTGTTTGTTTGAGACAGGGTCTTTCTGTGTAATTCAGGCTTTCCTTGAACTCACTGTGTAGCCCAGGCTGGCCTCGAACTCACAGCAATCTTCCTGCCTCAGCCTCCCGGGTGCTGGGATTACAGTCAGGCATCACCACACCCAGCTGTGGGCACTGTAATTTTTTACCTGGGTT